TACTACTGAGATATCCACATCCAACGGCGCCATTCATTCTGGCTACGGATGCGTCCGAGTACGCCATTGGTGGTGCATTAAAACAAATTGTTGACGGAAAAACTCACTACAACTATTTTCTGTCGCGGTTGCTGACAACGACCGAGAGAAATTACAAGACAACTGAACGTGAAGCATTAGCTATCTTCTGGTGCATGAAGAAATTGGAACAATATTTGGGTGGACGAGATGTTGTCATTCATACCGATCACAAACCATTGGTGCAATTTCATAAGAAAAACAAATTCAACAGCAAACTTATCGATGAATAGCTACCGAAACATCAAGACATGCTTCCACAAATGGTCGATGTAACATACAAGAAGGGAAGCACACATGGCGATGCTGATGGAATGTCAAGACCGGAAATTCACCCACACCAACATTATTTGAATGCCATTACAAGATCAATGACAACTACGGCCGTTCACAAACCTGTCATTAATCACGACAGTCAATCGACAGTTCCGTTGGACAATACTGATATGGCACCAGCATCGATGACATTTGATTTTAGTCTGACACGAATTCGTGACGAGCAGCAGCACGATTCTCACATTTTAAAGATTAAAGAACAGCTGAAGACCGCGACCCGATCTTATTCAAATTTCATCGTCGAAAATGATCTTCTATACAAACTGGTAACACAACCGCAGGCAGCGACGCTAACAAAATTGATCTACATTCCATCCTCCATGAGAGGAGAAGTCCTTCAGAGCTACCACGATCACCCAACGGCGGCTCATTTTGGCGTCAATCGAACATGGCATAAATTGAGGACGAAATGTTATTGGCCAATGATGAAAGAAACCATCCAAAATTACATTCGATCGTGTGAGAAGTGTGCAAAGTTCAATCTCCGTCGAACAAAATCTCCTGGCTAATTACAACCGATCGACTATCCCCAAGGAGCTTTGGAGCTCGTGGGCATGGATTTTTGGGGACCCACACCACAATATTCCACACACGGTAACAAATACGTCTTGGTCATCACCGATTATTACACCAAGTACGTAGTCGCTCATCCACTTCCAGACACCACGGCAGCTACAACAGTACAATGTTTCGTCGAGCAATTTGTACTTAAATATGGCGTGCCACGACGGCTGATCACCGATCAAGGCATCCACTTCAATAACGAGCTAATGAACAATATCACTATGTTATTGGGCATGAATCACATCAAATCAACACCATATCATCCAATGACAAATGGTCTCGTTGAACGATTCAATGCAACATTTCATCCGCAATTATCAAAGTTATACGATAAAAACTTGACAATTGGGATGACTATTTGCCCGCGGTAATCTATGCCTACAATACGGGTCAACAACGCAGTACTGGGTACTCTCCGTTTCAACTAATGTTTGCCCGCCAGCCGGCGTTACCACTTGATCACACAACAACAACATTCACACTTAGCCGACCCAATGATTATTGGGCACACTGGTTAAATGCATCAACACTTATAACCAAGCAGCCCGACAACACGTCCAGATTCAACAACAACAAGCAAAGGAGCGTTACGACCTGATCCACGATATAAAACTAACGAATTAGTTTTGTGGAAAGTACCCGGGCATCGCGAAAAATTCGCTGAACGATTTTCTGGTCCTCATGTGGTCATACTCGCCAAACATCCATCATATACAATTCTAGATCCAGCAACAACCACAACCAGACGAGTACATGTGAATGATCTCAAGCCTGTCTACGCACGATGTGTTTAACCCACGACTAGGTGACAGCATCCCAAAGTGAAAACATAAATCTGGTGGCAGCGTATGAGTTTCATTTGGGACCAAGGAACACACTCGCACGCAATTGTTGGTTCAATGATAATAGTAGTGGCAGTGCTGGAAGATTGAATAACAAACAGACATGTGAGAGCTATTTAAATCTCGACGAACGTGGCAGTTCATCTTGTTTGGTGGGGGGAGGTGTTAGGTCACGAGACCTAAACTGCACACAGACACTGTAGCGTCAGTATACTACTGCATGTTTATATAGAAGAAACATTTCCTTTCCAGGAAATGTATTTCATATAGTCACCATGTCGTCATGCCATCCTGTGACACCATTGTATATATTACATCATGTTTTCTGTTACGTTCCTTTTTTCCTTTCTTTCACGCCTATATATACACAGGCATATACTGTACTAGGGTCTACAGTATATGCCTGCGGGGGACCTTGGCTTTCTTAATAAAGATTTGTACATACAAGTGAAGATCCATACAAGTTAGGTGGAACCTAACAGCATGATAAAGTGGATTGCACTTTTAACTGTTTCTTGCCGACAGAGACCTGAATTTTGGAGGGGTATGGGGGGGTGCGTACCTAACTCATGCAAAATGATGCTAGCTGTTACTCCATTTTTCACTATATTCAGTACCTACAGATTCAACGAGTGCGCATAAAATCAACGCCCACACCTGAGCTCTAACCTATAATACACGTCTAAAATTTTCGGATGACCACCTTTCAACAAATACACATTTGGCGTAGAAACATGTATTTTGTGGTACATAAATACCTGTTACTGCAGATGTTGAAATCGTCCCGCTTAGTCCATT